GGAAAACTTCATCTGTCTCTCGCAAACCTACTCGCAAGACTGGCAAGGGTGCAATCACAAATCCCAGAAAACATTCCGCGTTCAAATCACTCAGGGCTGTCACTTCGAGTAAGCCAGAATCAAGAGACGGTAAGAAACTCAGGCCCGCCAAGTCTGGAGGTTCATGCCGCCGGCCGCAAAAACGATCTCCTATCCCAGGTATGGTCTTCGCGTTTGGCGTTTCTTACAAGCTAATGTCAAGGATCAGTGCGAACAGTCATAATTGGACAATCTGATCCATTTCGTTTGAGAAGGCTCAAACTTAAATATAAAGGGGACGAACAAGGTAACTCTGCAAGTGTTCATCAGGTAGAGGGAGGACCATTGGATGGATGGTACGCCAAAACCGATGGAAAAGAACCGATTAGACAAAACGAAATTGAGGCCATCAAACACGTACGATATTAAATCCTCATTGAAGAGAGTTTCACTGACGGCAGTTTCGTTAGTTTGATCCACAAGCGATCATCGGTAAATCATTTGAATTGAAACCGAAGACTTGGATCGTCCAAGAGAACAAGGGTGTTGCCATCGAAGATCTTCCAATGGTTCAGGAGATTATAAATGGGAGCGGAACGGATGACGAAAAAGAGGAGCTACTCGACAAACTGCACAAAGAGAAAATGAAGCAAATAGATGCTATGTTGGAGGAGATCAATAAACAGGGTTGGACGCATAATGATATTCATCCAGGAAATATCAGATTTGACCCGAAAGCAGGTAAACCTACCGCTATTGACTGGGGAAAGGCCGAAAAGTGGCATACCGGTGACAGTGCCGTGGATGAGCAGACACTTCAAGAGGGGCGGTACCCGAGAGACGAGAACAAACGAAAAAAGAAATTTTACGAAGCACTTCAAGAAAAATTGTGGTGTTCTTTGGAGCCCGGGGACAGGGGTAGTGAAAGATTCTTTCCGATGAATGTATCGCCATAACTACTAGACTGTCTGGCTGTCGCTATTCTATTTAGGATTATTTGTATGCATGGTTTCAATTAAATTGAGAGTTTGTTTCGTTGACATTTCTGTTTTGTCACAATGTAAATGGTTCATAGCGACTTCTGCAAACTCGCCCCTCAAGGACATTCGAGACGCCAGAAAAAATATTCTGTCGATCTTGCTTGTGCATGATCTGTGTATTTAGGGAGGTAAGCTTTGTATGAGTGACGTCGGACGGGCCCCCGGAGGGGAGGTCGAACAACTAGAGGCGATCGAATCAACGGAATAAAGCGCTCTTTGGGCCACCTTTTTGCGGGACTTTCGTGGAATCTTTGATATCCTGATTTATGTCCTATAGCTTTACCATATGCTTGTTGGGATGATGACGGCTGGGCCGGGTGAGACAGAGAACAACCAGTGAAGGCGGCCCTGCTGCCACCCAGCCAATACTAAATACAAGACGCTAGCGACAATTGAGGCATAAATCAACAATGTTCGTGCCTTAATGGGCTACCCGGTCGATAATTTGTGACCGAAGCCCTGCCAGTGGCCTATTCATGCGACGAACAACGAGTTTCACAAATGAATTTTGTACATGAAAGAAGGAAGTTTATTTGCACTTGTGGGATAGCCCTTTAATGGGAAACTTCAAGATTGACATGATGGCCATTGTCAAGGGCAAGGGCAAGTACAGTCCTTCTCATCACTGGTCCCTCCATGCAGCCAGTTCATGTGAGATATGAGGATCATTTCACCGCCTGGATCAAGTTTTATATACCAGGATGGCATCAATGCTCCTGGACTCGGTGGCTCAATGGTTTGTGCAATAATGATTACATTCATGGAGAAGTCTAGTTTCATCATATGTCGAGCTCTGTATAGAATAAATACATGGCCTGGATTAGCTGTACCACGCAGACTTATTCTATTAGCTCGAGTATCGGCTTGTAAGACTCCTATCCCTTCCGGCTTCTCGACACTGTGATCAACCTACCCAATCAGCAGCTGTGAGCTTCTGCCACAATGAGCCGTTTTTGGAGCGGAAAGGGTGAGTCGAGCAATTCAAGAGCCCTAGTTTCGATCCTCCTTTAACAGATATTCGGGGGTAGCTTTCCCTTGACCTAAAGATTCTTCTCTAGTGAGCCAGTGCTCCTCTCCATCATCACTTCCCTCTGAGGCCGCAAATCGGATACCCTGCTGGCTCGCTCGTTCCACAAGATGATCTACATCCAGGATGATACGACGATCTTTGGATTCAAATTCATCACCTCGCTGTAACGTGCCG